GGTGGTTTTATGATATTCGTGAGGTGGTTTTATGATATTCGTGAGGTAGTTTTATCATATTCATGAGGTAGTTTTATCATATTCAGGAGATTACTTTAAATGTTATTAAGTCAGAACTTTTCCACCCTTCTCTCAGTCAAAGTTTGGTTCCTGTTGGACCCGGACTGGACCCAGTGGTCCCAGTGTGCTCCACAGATACCCAGCCCTATTTGAGACACAGCAGCCGGGAGATTTAAAGCCAGTCCAGACATTTCCTTCATGCTTCAGACGAGGCGGGAGGGTTTCGGCTTAGTTTGACCTTCACACAAAAAGAGGCGTGCAGTTTGTGTATGAAGCTTACATTTTCCTCAAGTTCCCTGAAAGCATCATCTGCCTGCTTAACGTCAGTCCCTACTAAGTGGGTTCTGTCGACCGGCTCTGAGAGGCCGTACTCGACCATTGCGTTTTCTGTGGCATTAATGGTTCTCAGGACCTCAGTGGTGAGGTCACAGAGGGCGGCAGCAGTCGATCTCTGAAAGCCATGTAGAGGGACAGATGTTAACAGCTGCACAACAACACCTGATCCTGCAGCAGCTACCGGCCCGGACGCAGCGGTACCACCAGTAGAGTCCGGAGGGCAACGCTTTCTTCATGATAGAGCAGTCTCACTGTCAGCTTCAGAAATGAGTATTCCTTTGAGTATTGTTTTACTTTTTAAAGTGACGACTGGGAAAAGAGACGACAACAGAACCCTGTCTCCTAAAGACGACACTCTCAAACAACCAAACTGGGAATGTTCTCCTGGATTACGGTCACAGTTTTTAACACAAAGTTATTGTTGTGAAACGAACCAAAACTTACTGGTTAGGTTAAAATAAGTATGTTTCTTACTTAAATTACGTAACTGAAGTGAGGTCAACAGGTTACGTATGTTACGTATATCAAAATAGCTCAACGTTGACTTGTGGTTTCACACAGGACATGAACAGGGGTCTCCTGGGTGAACGTCTGTGTTTGGACTCTTCTGTCCTTTGATTTGATTAAACATCAAGAACAAACGTAATCTGGGAGACGATACAATTCCCTCAAAACTAGCTGACGGTGCAGTTTAATCTTACGCGGAAGTGACTGACTTCTCCCCTCCTGGTTTAAATATGATTTGGTGAAACACGGCAGAAGAAGATGTGTGTGATCCAGGCAGGTAGCTGCTGACCTTCACATTTCCACAACCTGCTGAACGGTTACGAGCTAACGCAGGAGGCAGCCAGTTAGTGAGGAGCCTAAAGAAACGAATCTTTATCAGAATTACCAATCATCTTCTCTCATTTATCCATATCTTCTTGTAACTATGTGACGTGTGCTTCCAGATAAATCTCGGTTGTAGTGGAACTCTTCATAAAAAAGTATTTTAAATTGATTTGTATTAAATCAGATGACAGTTTCTAAACGTGTTTTGGGGTGAAGCTGAGCCGTAACATGGAAGCATGCACCACAAATGGGATCCTGGACGTTTACAAAAATAAACAGAAGAGTTGAGGTTGTGTCAGTTTGATTAGATCCATCTCGCTGCAACAGGATAAGAACTTATATCAACGATCGAAAAGCTTATTCTTCTAATGACTAAATCTTAATCTTAATCTAATGACTAAATGAGGTCTTTCTGAAACCTCCAGGTTCCCATTTGCTGTAAACTCCGCCCTGAAGTTGAATCCCCTCCTACCTTCTGAGCCTCGGTGGGCATCTCATCGCTGGATGAGCTCAGTTCTTTGTCCTTCAGAGAGTCCAGGTTCAGGACCGGGCCGCCCCTGACGCCGGCCAGACTTTTACCCGCAGAAGAGGTCTTCTTTCCGGCCTCTTCGTCTGACGACGCTCCCTTATCGCTCAGGTTCCCCGCCAGCTCGCTCAGCTTCCTCCTCAGCTTCTCCTCCTCGTTGTGACCGGACAGAGTCAACGTCTGCAGGAGGAAATGGATTTATTGATTAGAAAAAATCATACCAGGATATCAAATGAAAACATCACAGATTAAAGGATCACCTCGTCAGCAGGCGTCATCTTCTCCTCCAGGCGGTTCAGCAGACTCTCGATGGCCGACATGCGTTTGTTCAGCTCGTTCATCTAAATACGAATATCAAAGAAGAGATAAACGATGATCACAATGTTTGATGATTCTTTGGTATTGTGCCGAATATTTTACATGATTTTGTTAATTAATATTTTTATTACACTGTTGTTTGTTTTGTTAAATCTTTGCACTATTGTTTAGTTAGTTCATTTTTTATATTATTCTATTTCAATGTATATATTGTGCATTTTTATGTTTGCATTTTTTATATTTCATATTTTTGTCCATCCATCCATCTATCCATCCATCCGTCTATCTGTCCATCTGTCCATCCATCTATCCATCTATCCATCCATCCATCCGTCCGTCCGTCCAGCCGTCTGTCCATCCATCCATCCATCAATCAATCCGTCCGTCCATCCATCCATCCATCAGTCCGTCCGTCCGTCCATCCATCCGTCCATCCATCCATCCAACCGTCCTTCCATCCGTCCATCCATCTATCCATCCATCTGTCCATCCGTCCATCCGTCCGTCCATCCATCCATCCATCCATCAAT